TTCTAGCGGCTCAGGCGATCATTCTTCATAGCGTCTTGTTGTCTTGGAGGTACTCGAGTCGCACGCCCAGGCCGAGGCTATTGCTTAACTTTGCCATTTATATACCGTCTCCCTAAATATAGGCAAGGGTCTTGGTAAGTCCCGTAGTGGTCCCAGCGATTCTTCCCGATCTGTCAGAGATGATCGCGATGGAATCAGCAGTCGTGGATCAGGCAGAGAATCAATGGGAAGAGACCGCGACAGAGACCGGCATCGGAGAAGTCGATCCCGCGAATACCGAGACAAACGCAAGCGAAGCCGTGAGTGATGCTTTTTTTCTTTCCAAACAAACGAACCTGCTAGCGTACTAGGGGATAGTTCACCGACAATTGCTCTCATACCTTAGATTTCTTTACTCAGCATTAGGAGAACCCTCGTGCCGCTTTCAAAATTAACTCTACCACTTTTAACAAATACTAACAGTCTTAGCACATAACTAAGCTTTCCGGTAAGTGAGAACCAAAACCGCCCACTAGGAATGCATCAGTTTGCGTAGATTGGGTCCAGAAAAGTAACAACCAGGTTGTGCCAGTTTATTCATTTTTTATTCCATCTTTCCACGTAGGAAGCCGTGAGTACCGAAAAAGAAGCCCAGACCGCTCGAGAGAACCGCGTCGCCGTCGTAGTCGTGATCGGTACAGAGGTGATGATATGTCCCAATATGGTGAGTATGGCGCCGAAATTAGAGCGGAATACAATGGTGACTATTGATTTTCAGCGAATACCCGTTCCTATGTACATTGACCGGACAGTTAAAAAATATTCTTTGTGTATGAAACATTTTATTGTGCTCAAAAAAATTCTAAAAAAATTAACAGAGTTGACTACTTTTCATTTCCTTTGGGGTCCTCGCATCACTCGTAGGCGTACTTGGGGGCCTTCCAGTAACAACAGGCTAAAATGACACCGATGAACTGAAAAGAGGCGTTAAAAAGGTTGCTGTAAGGCGGTGGGGTTCCGAATAATTAACAGATACAATGGAACTAATCAGAAGTTGTTACGGTGAATAGAGGGCTGGTTTATTTGCCCGAATTTGCACGACTAATCGGTATCAGGCTCGAAGCGATTGCAATGCTGGCCCCATGAAAAGTTGGTCTTCTATCCCGAGTTTCTCCCTTGGCCAAACAAAGAAGGCCGGCGCCTAAGGAAGTTCCATCCAAACCCGAGATGCAAAAGTTATCCTCTCCATAGCTAGTCAGTCAGAAAATCAGCTCCCACAAGGGAGGCGCGTGCCAGCAAACCTGAAGGCGCAACGCAGACCCGAGGTCAGACAGAAAATTGTTTCAATTGTGCGCGAAGTGTGTGGTTCTGCATCTGATGCGAGCCAATCCGCTGGTGATGTGTCACGAACACACACAAAATTCGGCAATTCTCTCCACCAATAGCAAGCGCGGTAAGCGCTGAAGGCTCAGATTTCGACAGCAGGTTACTACCCGTGACGCCCCGCTTGACTCTATAGAGAGCAGCAATGTTTCGGAACATTGACTTCAAGAATTGGCAACGGCCGCTTTGATTCAAATAATTATAACACCTTTTACGGGTGTCTAATAAAACAATTTACTCATTAGGCGTTCCAGTATGTTCGTTAGGGTAAGTTAATGTCAAACTAAAAAGCAACAAAAACACCATCTGGAGAATCAATGGAGTCGCATTCAATCAAAATGAAGCTAGCTAGCTTAGTTTTAAAATCTCTAGGGACTTGTCTGGCCGTCGCGCCGGTAAAGCCCAGCTGATTTTTGATGCGGACAAGAAGACATGGAGACAACCCGGAGGTCACAAAGGGGTAGAGGTGCCATTGACAACGCACCTTATAAACGCTTAGCCTCAGTCTTGTGCCTTGCGGGACCGGGTGGGAATATAGGTAAAAAGGCTTATCGTAATTACGGAAAAGTAATGAGTGGCAGGTAAG